ATGCAAAAAGACAAAAAGAGATTAACTCTAAGCCAATCTATCCCAATATGGAGCTTGTAGGTCTATCCCAATATGGTGTCCCACAAGGAACTTAATAATATGGCTGAAGGGCAAGGCATCAGCCACAGGCGGTGAGAATCTAGGCAAAATCGTCAAGCCAAGTGCGTCTAGTGAGGGCCTACAAGATTAAATCAGAATCCAAGCAAGGACGCCAGTTTCACAGGTAGTGAAAACAGTAGTGCTGTGCTATGCTAGTGGCACGACTTGAGGATTGGTGATAACAGTGACTGAAATACTGGAGTTAGTCTCTATAATAATATTCTATAATAATTTGCTCCCTGCAATAATAGACCAGCAGGTTTAGGTGGGTTTAAACTAGTGGTAGGATTCCCCCTGCAAAAGTCCCACCTGGAGTGTGAACACATCTACGTGATAGTTGAACGTATAGCCAGGTTACATTAGTAGTTAGCGTAGCTAGTCTTATAGAAATATATGTACTAATGCAGTGTTAAGCTGCAGATTAACTGTAGAAGACATAAGGGTTGTAACACAACTTTATTCAAAACCATTACAGTTAATTTGTAGAAGACACTTGGTGTCTATCTAGATATAATATATCAATAAAGATTACATGCCGTGCGCATGTTCCACTATAAATAAAAAAAATAAAAAAAAAATAATTTATATAGTTTAATTTTAATTTTAAATTAAAATATTTATCGAAATAAAATTAATAAAATTGCAGGTTCTTATTTCATAAATATAATATTAATTACTATAATTAATATAAAAAAAAATGTAACAATGATGTGATGTTTCTCGATGTAATATTGAAGAACTCTAAAATTTCTAAAATTAAAACGCTGCTTAATAAAATATATATTGAAACCAGTGAAAACCATTTGATAAAGTTAACCATTTAAACTCGTGGTGCCCGAAAAATAAAAGAAAAATTGTCACGAGATTTTAACAAAGTATCTTGACCTTCCTTCACTAATCCGCAAAAATAATGTTCTCGAAACACCAGAATGTCTTACAGAATTAGAACTTGATATTAATTATCCAGAATATGACTTTGCAATCGAAATACAAGGCGTACAACACGAAAAGTATATCCCAATAATCTTATCAAACAGCAAGCCCGGGATCAACTCAAGAAAGAATTATGCATTTCCCTAAGGTATGTTTTGTATTACGAAGACTCACATATAGTTATTCCCGTGCATCTTCGAGAATTGGGTCTCATTGAATAAACTGAAAGCTTTAAATACTTTTTGAGATTCTGTAATTCAGGTAATTGTTACATAAATATCGGAACTTTCGATCCAATTAATATCACATGACCCACGCCAGAAAAACTGTATACATGTACAATACAAATAAAAAACTAACAATCTTGATATTCAGGATGAATGAATGAATTAATTTTTGCGTTACCTGTTCTTTTTTGATTTCTATGATGTTTTTATGGTTTTCATTTCGTTTGGTGGACTTCGTTTAGGAGTTTTAGCGGAAACAATCGCACTATCATCCGATTTTAGCGAAAGTTCTTTCACAAGTCCCTGGACAAAAATGCCCCTTAGTAAGTGACAGTGATCCACTAGAAGAATTAAAACAATACGAAAAATAGGGCTTACTTTATATTCCATGCCCAAGAAAGTGCAATAAGTAGTTTTTCATAAGATGAACATAATAGATGATGTTTAAACGACTTCAGGAGATGAAGTCGATATATACCACGTTTTTCCATCATGTATATTCGAATCTCTGTCATGTATAGCTGAATAAAACAAAAATTCAGTTTCCTCATGAAGACCAATTGTATATTGACAAAGGAGCTTAAGACTTAATTAACCTGAATTCCGATAGTAAAAAGATTTGATGAATCTCTACTTGCACACCAAATTTCTCTAATATATCATCCAATGTATCTTTAAGCACTCTTGGTAGTTGATACTCATATTTATGTGGTGTTATATTCAGATTCAAAAGCATCTAGACTAAAAAAGATGGTAAATCATGCATTAAATGAAAGCTATGCTTGTCAAGAAAGAGACTTACAATGCCCCGACAGCACGTTCAACCCAATACAGGATCTTCTTCCAGTCTTCTTCATAGTATTAAAAACCTTCATTATATTCTGGTGCTTTTAAACTCCTTAATTTTACCCATCTATCACGGGATTCGTGAAGCTTGGGTTGCTTTTATCAAAAACATAAATGTGTCAATATTTGTGATCAACACTGCTCGAATTTTCCAAATGCACTTTACTTAGTCACCTTGCTCCTTAATTTCTCATAAGAGGCTCGAATAGATGAACCAATTTCTTCGTAATATGTAGTATTAACTACAGGTGGTCAGCCTGCTATAAGTTCCGCCCAAAACTCGGGTTCGAACTCTTTCTATCCGTGAACATGGAGTGAGATCTAAAATAAAGCTGTGCACAAGACTTCACAAAAATAATAAGATTTAAAATTATTCAATAACCGTAATCTGTAGTGAATCTATTATCAAGAACAAAACTTACTCGTATTTTGACGTTAATTTTGAACGATATTTTTCCATTACCGACATTATATGAGATGAAAGTAAGTCATCACCAATCTCAGAATATAACCACTTGTGAGTATTATTTAACGGTACTGACTATAGAGGAGAGAGATAATAGTAATTGATCTAGAAATTAAATATCACTTAACTGTTTAACGTAATAATAGGGCTACCACAAGTAATTCGAACTTGATAACTAAAAAAATCATACCTCGTCCTGATTAACGGTTGCATCGTTAGAATAGTGTCCAGATACAAAAAGCGGATTCTCAGCATCTATGAAGCTACTATTCCGAGTTACAGAGAAAAAAAGTTAAATATGTAATGCATAGACAAGTTTGAATAAATTACAATCTTTCGTACCATTTCTACCTATTAGGCTATAATTGGGGAATTCTCCACTATCAACATGGACTCCATCACCCTCAGATTCATCTTCGGGTGATTTTTCTTTTCATCAACGAGATCTTGGTAGTGGTTGATCTAGCATATTGTTGAACTTGTTCTGTTGTAACTGTAGCTATAGTTACGTGTTGAGCCACCTTGTATGGGAAATAACATCAAGAGTGAATTATTTAGTCTTTATTTACAGTATTAAACCTGCTTTATATTTACAGTACATGCATATCATGATCACGATACTGGATCAGATTTTGTTTATCTACGATGTTTATTGGCTTATATTAAACACGTGATTTACACAGATAAGTTCTATAAATTATCCATCGTTTTTTCTAAACTTGAACATTTTTCACGCTGGATGAATTATATACCAAAGACTTCTGGATGTGAATTATTATTTATGATGAAGGTATGTTGAATATCATATAAAACATTAAAAATTACATATTAGTTATGCCTATTATTATATCTATAATGCTATATCTATAGTCTCTATAATGCTATATGGCTTCTAAAAAATGTCATTTAATGTTCATAAATGTCATCTATAACGTTCATTTATTGAAATGTCCTTGCTAAAAGATGGTTTGTTTTAATATTTCTAAAGAATGCTAACGGTTTGTTTGTCTTAATTCTGCAGTCACTCATAATAGTCCAAATTTTCAATGCTAGGTTCATATATATTTAATCCATCCGTCTGGTTCTCTTCGTTTGTCATCGAAGATGGTGATGGGGGAGCTTGGATGTCTGAATAAGGTGAATTCAAGTTGCTATATTCTATATTGTCGGAAACATATCCAGAAATCATATTATCAAAAATTAGGGATGGAGTATCACCCGGAGAAATTATCGGAGAAAAACCTGGTATATCTGTATTGAAAAGAAAAATCATTACTATAAGCGATATTATATAAGAAAAGGAATTGTTGACTCACATACCATAAGGCACAATATTATCCAGAGGATTCGGCGACAAATTCATGATATCACCAAATGAATCTAATTTTGAGGCGAAAATATTAGCAAAGAATCAACTAAATACTATCTATAAATACAAGTAGCTTACAAGCCGAGTGACACCAGTATTGAAGATTTCCTTCTGAGTTTCGTCTTATTTCTGGAGTCGTAATCATGAGTTCATTATCTTGTACCAGCTCTCTGTGAAGATCACCATGAGAAGAGGCTCGACGAATATTATTTCTTTGTTGTTGGAAGTTGGTGTTCTGTAGCATTCCATCGGTTAATTGAAAAATAGGGTCATGATCATTTTTTGATTTTGGACCTGGTCTTTGTCTCTGCCTGATCACACACTCTTCATCATTCTTTAAGCAGTTTTCACAAGGATAGACTCCTGCATAGCGAACGCATTTTTTTTTTCGCCTATGACAATTTTTGCAAGCATTTGTACAATACGGGCCTCGGGGATTTTGACCTTTGTCCCCAGGTGGCGTGAGAGTTATATTGGGGATTTGAGGTTTTCGATTAGAATTATCCATGTGAGCTAAGAATGCTACAAAATTCAACAACGACCAGATTTTGTGTGAAGTAGAGAGTAAGTTTGTTTGATTGTATTCTAAAGTGAAACGAGATTCCACCATTTTATATTTTTTTTGGTCACACAGATATCACCTTAATACTTTACATTTTAGTAAAATATTCCGCTATTGTGCCATGAAAGGATTTTATCTTCCGTTTATACTTATTTGTCCAAGATTTTCATCCTTTCATTAAAAAAACTTAACGTTTGAATGTCTCGAAAAAGATGAAAAAATAGCGCAAATTTGCGCAAAAGTGGTTTCTTTTCTGAAACAGCGATGTTTCATGGGTTTGTAACCTTCTCCCATTACCGTGCTTTCCTTAATATTTATTAAGAAAAAGTTTGCCATTTCGTTTGTGACAACGTCTTGATACAACTTTGAAAATGTTCCGACTATTTGTCGCACATTAATTATTGTATTCCCATAAAGAGGGCCGGTGGAACCACATGTGCATTCTGGAATGTTCGGTGACGGAATAATTATCATTAAAGGAAAGACCATCATGCATGCGAACTTATGAGACTCCTGATAGTCTTTCTATCGAACATTACACAAAATGAGATCGTCATACTGTGGGAATCATTCGATTTTAATTATAAAGAAAAATCCATTATAGAAAGGATAATTCAATAGTGAAATGGATATAGTTGAAGAACTTTGCAAATAATTATCTTAGCGTTATAAGATAAAAGCCGTTCGATCAAAAATTAACTGCTCTTTAAAATACGAAATTAATTGAATGAATATTTTTAAGATGAGGATAATGCCGGAAAGGTGATGATTAATTAGTCTTTTCAAATTTGGTTTTATTTACAAATAATGATTTTCTGCAAATCTTAAGAAAAAATAAGCAAACAAATTGTAGAATAGTCTAGAATGAAATGCGTTCATATTTCAAAATACTATGATACAAAAGTAGTAAAAAGTCATAACATTAAAACGAATTTTAATAATACTAAGTAGGAAAACGTGAACTGTTATTAAGTCTTCGATTCGAAGGTTATGCTGCTATTATTCAGAAAGAATTGCAGGCTATTTAGTATTATAAAAATATTATGGATAAATTTTATTAATCTTTTATATACGAGATATTGTGTAAAGTTTTTAAAAATATATTATTTATTTATTTATAAAATTGATAAAAAAAAATAATACAATATACAGTACATAATTATTTGATACGAATTTATTTTTAAATTAATATTTTTTTATTTTTTAAATAAAAAATAAAAAAAATAAACCATCATATAATAAAACATTAGAATTAATTATAGACATAAAAATGTTATCATTATTATTAAAAAACATAACATGTAAATTTTAAAGTAATACTACAAATGATTCGGCTATATTTATTAAATTAATTTTTTAAAAACATCTTTATATTAAATTTAATAGATCCTTAATTGTGAAAAATCTTAAGAAAAAACTTTTTTTACTTATTTTTACTTTATCAAAAACTTATTCTTTTAATAAATTTTTTTTTCTTTATTGTAAAAAAAAAAAAAAAAAAGATCATATAGCATATATAATAAAATTTTTTAGATTTAGAATTTTGAAAATTTTAAAACTATTTATAATATATAAAAAATATTAACAGTAGTAACAATAGATTAAATAATTAAATAAAATTTACTTGATTTTTTTAAAATTAAAAACCTTTATTATATATTATTTAAAATATAATATTTGTTTTTTTTAATATTTTGCTTTATTATATATTGCCAATTTTATTCTTTTAAATATTAATTGTACTAATTTGCAATATAACTTTATACTTATTTATTTCAATTTCTTTTTATTAATTTTATAAAATTTTTTTTATAATTATAAAATCGATTTTTTTGTTAACAATTTTTTTTTAACAATACTTATAGATTCTTGATTGAATCAAGCTATAAGAATAAAAATATCAATTAAAATATATATTGTAAATATTGTTTTGCAATAATTTAATTATAAGTTTTATATAATAATTAAACTTATTATTTTGTTAAAATATTTATTTATAATCAAAAATTAAATTAGTTTACTTAAATAATTTTTGGATAAATATTTTATTATAGAATTTATCATTTTTAATTTTTATAAAAACATAAAAACTAATAATTTTTTTATCATAAACAAATATTATATATAAATTTAAATAAATTAAAAAAAAAAACTCTTTTTCGCAAATCTCAAAATTCTTAAAAATTTCCTTTTTTGTTAATACTACAAAATACCCAAAAACACTCAAAGAAACATTTCAAGAGAACATCCAAAGAAAAACTCCACAATATCTTCTTGAAAATAAAGAAGGACAAATATAACAGGTATACTGTGGGTTCAAAAAATATATTAACTCCTCTTTATTTCTCAATTTTAAAGACAGATACTTGTGATTTCTCATTGGGAAAAAAGAGAAAGTTAGCACTGTACTTCACAAGCTACTAACCAGTCGTACACTAGGTTAGATACTTTCCTAAACATTGCAAAACTTAGTATTAGTCAGATTACATTTGGTAAACAAGACAATCTTACACATCAACACAAAATCAGAAGGGTCCCAAGACTTTCTTATTACTGTAATTAAAAAGAAAAGTATAGATTCCAATATTTTTGAAGATAAACAATATCTATTATGCAATCAAATTTTTGATAAAAACAAAAAAACTATCTCCTTCTAAAGATCAACAGTAATACAAACACATACTTTTCAAATCCAAACAATATCAACAATTATTAAACAAACAAATACAACAACACAAAACATGATACATGTACATAACAAATCCAAATACTACTAAAGCTAACTTACTCCCAAAGCAAGATCTGCAGTAGCACAAATATGCTATTACTACAAACAAAGTAACAAAACACAAACAGGACTTACCAAAACAAGCAAATCACAAACAACTTGACAAAACATATGTCAATCTCAATCCTATATACTAAAAAGGAATAATTACACTATATAACAAGCTGTTTCAAGCAAATCAATATGCATCAAACAAACAACAAATTAAGTCAGTTTACATATATCAATCTAGCAAAAGTTCAAAACAATAATTGACTCCAACCTAATCCAAATAAAAAATCTAATAATAAAACACTTCAAAATAATTGAAGACAATCACAATAAAGGAAAACAAAATGGTTTCGTACATTGATTGAAAATGGTGCAACAAATACAGTATCAGAACTGGCAGAGTTAGGAGCAATAGTAAACATCACAGTTATAGATGTGGTAGTAGCAAAGCTTCTTAATATCAATTAATATACAGCCATAAAATGGATGTTGGCTAAAAAATATATTAAACAAATCTGAGTATTTAATCAACTAGATATGAACATATTAAACAGATACATATTAGAAGATTCACAACAAGTGTCTAAGATTATTGATATTCTATATTCAGGACAAGACTCACGATATGTATAAAACAAAAACTCAGAAATTATATTATCTTCTGAACAACCTGTGACAAGAAACCATAATCATAATTATCAATAAAAAGTAGTCAAAAGATATAAAGGAAACATGTCAGAAAATTACATTTATCAAAAAGATATAATAAAGTAGGCAAACGAAAAATATCAAATATCAAAAGTCATTATGAATGAACATATTTCTGAAAACATAACTGAAAATCAGGAAATACATGTCTCAGAGATAATCATGAAAGAGCAATCTCTTTTAGATGAAGACTCTGGCATATTAATACTCACTTTCAATCCACTGGAAGATATAAAAGCAAAGAAAGACTATATAATAAGAAACAAAGACTTCCAACCAACAAACCCCTATCACATTTGCAAAAAAGGAACATACAAAGCAGGAACCTTAATAGCAAACACACCAGGAGAGAATCAGAAAGAACAGATCAAATATCTTGCAAATATCTCAAGCTCTTCGTTAACAAATATAATCTTATCTAACCATATTTCCACAATGGAAACCGATAATATACAATCCATTTTCATTATGAAAAAGACAGATTAGCATACATTAGCAAAGTTAAAAACAAAGAGAATTTTGAACTGATTGCAATACAAGACTCAAATCTCGGGTAAGACAACAAAGCCAACAAAAAAACAAAAGATATCAAACATAGTATACCAAAAGAAAATCAAAGTCACAACAGTCCTAATTTATTTAATTTAATTAATAAACAAGGTCAAGTTCAACTTTGAATTAGATGCAACCCCCTCACCCAGACCAGTAAAAAAGAACAGTTACAAGAAATAGCCAACATGCTTCAAGTACCACTAGAATATGAGGGAATACAAGTCCTGGCAATAGAAAAAAACAAATGGATAAGTCTTGGTTTCAACGAAACAACAGATACCTATTGTGTAAACAACAGCTACTGAACACACATACAACCACAAGACATAATTTTAAATATTACCAAGAATGTCAGTCCAGATGCAGAAGCACCATTAAAAAGCTCATCAACTTCAAAAAGTTCAGAAAGTTCAGAAACTACCAAGTTGACACTGGATCAATACATACTTATAGATATTTCGGTATATACTTCATCTAATAAAATATAAAACATCCTTAATAAATATGGAAAGATTCAATCACTTAATATAACAAAGGGAAACAATAATTACAACAGTGTTACAGTAGCATTCCAATCCACATAAACTAATCTCAAGAAAACCTGGTTAATTCTAATAGATAATTTAATGGCAAGACTATCACTATTAGAAAATCAACAAGACATCTTTATGGAGCACAATTAAATTACAACCAGACTATATGGTATTGGAAAATTAACATTAGTTTCTTAGATAATAAGCACAATGAAGTACCTAAAAGTCAAAACAGTACACATTTCACTTAACAGCAAAACTGGCAAAAGAAGAAACTTTGCTATTATAGATTTTGAAAACCAAAATAACCTAAACAAAATCCTATCATCACATGTAAAACTGTTTGGAAGTAAAACCTGGTGGAGTACTAAAGACAATACAAAAACATATAACAGTATCAACAAAAAGTCAAAAGTTCAAATATAAGACTTCACAACAAGAGAAGAAAGCCGTCTAAATCATTATAAGAATTTAAG